TTGTTGAACGCTTCCTGCTGCTCTTCACCCCACACAAACGTGAGATCTTCTCGGGTGAGTCGTGTTAAAGGTGATGCAATACGCGAAAAATTCTCAATGAAGCGTCGGTAATAGGCGCACTGGCCTAAAAATTGCCGCACCGCCTTCTTGTCTGATGGCGCAGGAAAACTTGCAACAGCGGCTATTATGTCTGGGTCAGGCCGTACCCCTTCACTGCTGACAAGGTGTCCCAAGAAAAGAAGCTCTTCGAAGCCAAAGTTACATTTTTCTGGCTTGAGTGTTAGTCCGGCCGATCGTATCGCTTGAAATACCGCGTGTAGTCGATTTAAGTGCTCATCAAATGTCGCTGAAAATACAATTACATTGTCCAAATATACCAGGCATGTTTACCACTTTAGGCCTGACAGGACTTTGTCCATGATTCGCTGAAACGTTGCCGGTGCTGAGCACAAGCCGAACGGGAGAACTTTAAACTCATAAAGACCATCGGGTGTCACAAATGCTGTTTTTTCTCGATCTCTTTCGTCAACTTCTATTTGCCAATATCCGCTCCGTAAATCCATCGACGAGAAATACCGTGCATGGCGTAGTCGATCGAGAGAATCTTTTATACGAGGCAGCGAATAAACGTCCTTTTTCGTAACCTGATTGTGTTTGCGGTAATCAACGCAGAAACGTAAGGTGCCATCTTTTTTTTTTTTCACCAATAGTACCAGTGATGCCCAAGGACTTTTTGACAGCTGAATAACGTCATCCTGAAGCATCTTTCGCACCTGACTTTCTATGGCCTTACGTTCCCGCGGAGCTACTCGGTATGGGTTCTGCCGTATGGGTTTGGCCGTTTCATCTGTAATTATGTGATGTTTCGTCAACGGCATTTGGCGAGCTCTGGACGTCAAAGAAAAACAGTTCTGAAACTCATTAATAAGCTTCAGAAGGCTTTGCTTCTGCGGGGGCAGTAAACTTGGGCCAACGTCGACGGATAGAGGGGCTGAGCCGGTGACATCGGCTTTCTCCACAGTCAAGCAGCCCGCAACCTCAATGAGCTCCTCGACGTACGCGACTGCCATACCTCTTGCAAGATGTCGTCGCTCAGTACTGAAGTTCGTAACCAGAACGTGCATGTGTCCGCAATTGAGGCTTACTACGGCTCTTGCAACGGATAGGTCATGGCTCAATAGCAATGCTGGAATTTGTCCAGCGATGTGGTCGAAGTTGCCTGGGTGGTCGCATGTTACAGCTACGAGAGCACTTGAATGGGGTGGAAGGGTCACGTGATTTTCGAAGACGCGCAGATGTTTACACCGCTGGTCGTTACATCTCATATCTGAAACTTGATCTGGGGCCATCAAAAATGTAACTGACCTGTCTGAAATGTCTATGACGACACCGTATTCACAAAGGAAGTCCATTCCCAAGATCAGGTCTTTGCAGCACTCGGACAAAATCACGAACGTGGCAACGAAAGCTGAATCACCGATACTAATCCTGGCAGTGCACTTTCCAGTCGGCGTCATCAGTTGGCCCGCCGCGGTTCTTATGTTGCCCCGTCCATGACGTTTTAACTTTTTTAAGCCAATCGGCAAGCTTTCTGCTCATGATAGAGAAATCTGCGCCAGTGTCTACTAGCGCTGTCACAGGGCGTCCGTCTACTTAAACAGCTATGTCGGCGCTTACGATTTTCCGTGGGGTTGGCGGCGTTGCGTCGTATCGTACTGGTACTGGAGGTATTGCAGCATCTCGACGAGTGGCAACCTTCCCTCCAAAGGTCGCAGCTGTTAGTTTCCCCGATGAGGGCTTGGGGACCGGCCCCGGACAGCGTCGGCGTAACTACGACGGTTCGGCGAAGAGCGCGGCGAAGGTGACGGAGAGTGGGATCGACGATACAGAGCGGATGGCTGTCCTGTCCTTGCGGGTGCGCGCTGACACGTCGGGTGTAGAAATGAGGTCGTGAAAAAGTCGGCGCATAAGTCCGGTATCTCTGTTCACGATATGGACAGATGTGGTAAACATGTCCAGCTTCTTCGCAATTGAAGCACAGTGGACGGCGTTCGACGATGCGCCACAGATCCGTTTTGCGAACGAATGGTTGACTGGTAGGCACCCTCGGCGACCAAGTTGCAGGTGTCGGTGGAGGGTAGAGCAGAGTGTCAGTAGGTGTGTCATATTGCGGAGTCATCGTCGTTGGTGGTGGCGGCGGTTGGTTGTAGACTGGTGCCACCGGCGCATTGTAAGAATGAGCCAGTCCAGATGAGTTGTGCGGCACTGGCGACGGACGACGGGTGGCTGCCGCATAGTTAATCGATCGCTGGGCTGGTAGTGATTCGGGCTGCGAAAATGCTTGCCTGATTTCCTGCCGCACAACTTCTCCAACTGAAGCCTTCGCCCATTCTTGCGGAGTCGCAAGGAAGCTGCGGATCTCCTAACGAACAACCTCGCGAATAAGCTCACGCAGAGAACTGTCACTGCCTGCCGTCAGAGCAGAGACGCTGATTGAGGCACCATTTGGTCGGTCGTAATAACGACACCGTTGCTGCAGTGCGCGCTCGATAGCCGTAGCCTCTTTGATGAATTCCGCAACGGTCGTCGGTGGATTGCAGAGAAGGCCCGCAAAGAGCTGTTCTTTGATGCCTCGCATCAAATGGTGGAGTTTCTTGGTTTCAGGCATATCAGGGTCAGCCCGTCTAAATAGGCGTGTCATGTCCTCCGCAAACATGGAGACACTCTCATTCTGTTTCTGGACCCGAGACTCGATGAGTTGCTGAGCAAAGTTACGGCGATCGTTGTTTGCGAAGGTGCTGAGAATCTGCTGCCGAAATTCATCCCATGAAGACAGCGTTGCGTCGTGGTTCTCATACCATGTACGAGCGCTGTCTGCTAAAGCAAAGTAGGCGCGTGAAAGCTTTAGCTCGGTGCTCCAGCGGTTTGCCTTAGCGACTCGCTCATACTGGGCCAGCCAGTCCTCAACGTCTTCATACGCCACACTATGGAATGTCTCCGGAATCTGGGGCTGCTCAAAAGTCAGCTGGGAAGCACCTGCAGTTGCCATTTCTCCAGGCGGAGTGCTTTGCTGGGAAAGTTCCAGAGGAATTGCCTCAGGACTAAAGCCTCGCTGTCGGCGACTGTAGCGGTGGACAAAGGTATCCACTGAAGAAACGGGTTGCGGTGTCGGACTTGAAGTGCCGGACCGCGGAGGAGTCCCGAGCATCAGTTGTAGAAATCGAGCGCCTCCACCAGTGTTGCAACGTGCAAAGAACAGGACACAAGGCTTCCTTTGGACGTTAACAGCATGGCTCTATTCGCACACGAAAACAAAGCGCAAGAGCAGACGCGCAACCTCGTCTTCCTCGAAAAACGCCAAAGACTGCCTCTCGTAATGCTGGCTTCTTTTTCCTTTTGAGCTTACGGCTAATAACCGTGACAATATTAAGAAGTCAGCAGGTATATCATGGCAGCAGAAGGCACAGGATCGGGTGGACTGGTGGAACACGGGAGAGGCCTTTGACTTGCAGTGAACAAAGTCAGACTGATATCAGATGATCACATTAAGTTTGTTTCACTCGAGGAAAGCAATGATGCGTTATATGGCACTTCAATTCAATGACTCATGTGGCATCTATAGTTAAGCACATGAAGGAATACAAAGAAAGTAAGGAGCTTGACGTCGCGCTGCCAGCCCTTGCAAGCCAACCCGTTTCAAAGCCAGCAAACCTTTTACATCGAGATCACGCAAATGACGAGACTTTAGAGTGTGGCGCCCGGTAGCTTTTACGCGAAACGGTCTTGTTGGGCGTAGACCTGCCGTCTCACGCAGGAGGTTCAAAAGACGGACCACCACCGTGAGCACTAAAAGCTATTGTGCACTGTGACGTTTTGGTCACGTGTTGGGGCGACATGGTGGACTTCGCTCGTGTGACAAAATGCCCCCTCTTTTGTTTTTTCTTCTTCTATGGTTCAACATTAATGTAATTTCATGTACCCTCCCCTCGAAGGGCCGGTTTTCTTTTTTTTTCTCGAGGAGAGGTGGCAACCCTAACGATAGTTCATACCATTTCTGCCACGATTTCTAATTTAGGGAAGCACCGAGTTGTTTAGAAACACTCGGGGTAGCTCAGCCTACCAGGGCTTCATTGTATCGTGTGCTAGAAAGTGTGTCATCTGCGGGGATTAGCCAGATCATGTCATGACAGCCGCAGTACCTTCACTGTGCAGCAGAAGCAGTGATGCACAACCAAGCATTCACTAACTGCATCACAGTGCTGATGTGTGATTTCACACTTTTACGATTTAATTTAGTCTTGCCAAATTATGCGAGGACTTGGGTGTGGACCATTATCACCATGTGCCATCTTCAAAAACAGGTTGTAGCTAAATTCGTGTTCTGGATATGGAAGTGTTATAGAGTAGCTCAATACAAAGTGGTGTCGGTTGCAAGGTCCTGCTGACAGGGCATGTGGAAGAGCACCAGAGTGCTGGCAAGCATACATACATTTTTGAAAAGAAATGTGTGCATGCTCAACATTCTCTTCAATTTGACAGCACTTTGCTTAATAATATGTTCCAAAAGTGTTTCAGGGCATCTTTCAGTCTGCTGTGAAAGATATCAAGCAAGTTGTAGTTTTCTCTGTGGGAGCCTTGCACGGTACGAAGTCTATGAAACCTATTTACGACATCTATTTCATAGAACTGTGAGAATGCAGCTTGCCAGTCGCTGGGAATCTAGCGTCATACTTAAAAAGTCGGCTTCTTTTGCATTATATAACTGGGCGGACATCTAAGCTGGAAGTGCGTGTACCGTTTCATTGTAGAACAGGCAAGTGAATTGCGGATTTCATGTGTTGGAAGCTGATGCAGCTTCAATTTATTTTTATGGCTTTGACCATCACACATACCCATTGCCTAATATTAGTGTTTTTCTAGTATATTCCTTTCATAGGATCGACATCGACGAACGTTTTTGGTTATCTGTGCCTTGTGTGACCATTGTGTTGTTGTGCCAGGGTCACAAGGCAGGCTTGGTGCCAGCTGTGGCGGGAGCTGCCCTCTCTTCGGGCCTGCATCACAAGGTGGATTACATGCGCATTTGCAGATTGCACTGCACCAGTGGCCACTAGAATGCTGGCCCCAATCTACGACTGACATGACTAACGTCGCACGATGACCAGTCTCCACCAAGCATGACATTTTCTAACATTAACTGTTCTTGATGACCAGTCGGCACTGAGCGTGACTTGTTCTAACCTGATCTATCTGTTGCCTCTACCATCGCTGGCATGCCCTTCTCATTCTGTGTCTCTTGTGTGAAGCTGCGCTTTTTCATCAACTCATCTGTCTTCATCCTTCTGTGCAACACATATAAGCCGTTTGTTAGAAAGCTTTAGAGCATACAAAAGGATCTAGTGGATCACTGGTTCAAAGCGTATATTTAAACATACAAGATATTACATTTGAAACATGAGGAGCAGCTTGTAAAAACAGCCGCCTTTAAAAATAAATGTCACTATTGCTGTTTCTAGAAATGAAGTGTGAAGCAAGTGTGACATGCAACATGTGGCTCCTCAGCATGAGCTCAGATATCTTGGAGGTGGCGTGTCCAGACCAAGGTCATAGCAACACCCGTTAGGTGCGCACACTATATGGTTAGTTACCGCTTGGAGGCAGCTTGCATGAATTTTATGCAAGTTGTAGTCATGTGGCTTTACGGACAATGCATAAGTGGTATATGACTACTCACTCATTATGATTTTAGTTGAAGTGAAAGCTTGTTGCACTTGGTCTTTGAATCTGACTCCATTGTTTTTGGGCTCACTAACAGCTGTTGACGTGAGCCATACCGGTAATCAGTTCCATGAATCGCCTGTTGTGAGCACTAATTCTGTAGTGTCCTTGTTATGTGCAAACTTAACCGCCACTGTCCTGTACAGGTAATACATTTTGATATGTGTGAATTAGTGTTAGGCAAATGTAGTGCCTTGAAAAAATCTATTTCTTAATGTGCATTGTTAAGTGTGTTTTGCGTTTGTTGGTCTTGTATTGTTTGAGAACATTGGCACATGGTATTAATTAGCAACACTGTCGTGCATTAACATAATGGGAGAAATCACTGTGGTGCTTTGTTGCACGTCAGTGCTTATTATGTCATGCATCACTACCGTTCCGGCAATTAATCTCGAAAATGCTAGGGATCTGTTCAAGCGACAAAGCTTTCGCACTTTGTTGCTTGTGCCAGCCTGGATCTGCTGGCATGCAGTTTTCATGTTTATATTTTTTTCCCAAATTTAACATTGTGCCGCAATCCCAGTACATTTACAAAGTTAGAGAGGTGCAAACACAGTTATTTCAATGCAAATTTGCATTGAAATAACTGTGTTTTGCATCAAATTTGCATCAAATTTGCTCTAACTTCTAGTCACTTTAGTGCAGTCGAACCCCTTTATAAGGAACACTGATGTAAGAGGCAAGTGGGTATAAGAAACACCAGTGGGACTGCATAGAGATTGGGTTTGATAAGAAAATGCAAACCTAACCTACTTCTAACAGCCACCTCGTATAAAAGACAGGAATTGCTCCCTGGTGTGTATCTCTTCTTATGGGGTTTAACTGTATAATTAAAAGAAATTAGAGAGTCACACGCTCGACTATTTTTCAGCAGGACTCTGTGAAAGCGCAGGCTTCTGCTTTTTCTACGTATCCACATTTCTCCTCTTGCGTACGCAGTCTCACGGACACAAGCCCAAGTCCAGCATGCCACTTCCCATTGGTGCTGGCACCCTTGGAACAGGACTGGCCGTCGGTGCTACGGCGCTTGCCGGTGCAGCTTTGGCGAAGAAGGCATGTACCATGAGAACTTCATGTAATCTGTGGTACTAGTTTGTGCAACGAATTATTGACCTCACTAAGAGTGCATTCCTGGCTTGCATGGTTGTCTTGCTGTTAATGAGGTCTATTCATAATTGTCATTGATCACTGCTAAATGCTAATGACTTCACTGCTGACATCGAAGCCACTTGTTCTATTGCTTTGTAGCTGCTTTGTGCATTCATTTTTTATAATCAGAACAATGGGTGGGCTTAAATTTTGTCAATTTGGGAGATTGCTGGAAAAAAGTATGAAATTAATTTGTACACATTTTCTAAGCAGAGGTATTTATTAAATGCGAAGCATTTCTTAGTGAGCTTAGGCGACGTTGAGCGTATCTATCTATATATCTATCTATCTACCTATCTATCCGCCTATGCTTTAGCTATCCTGGCTGTTTCTGTCATGGTATCGATACCAAACTTGGTATGGCAGAACATGACTGTATGAAGAACATATTTGACTAGTCATAATATCAAAATCATGACATGTATGTCATTACTGTCATGATTTTACATTTCATGGTCCTGCAGCTCTTGCGGCGGTTCCATTCACATGGCATGTTGCAAAACTGGTATGGTATGGCATGAATACATGGCGAACGCAAGCGACAGACAATATAACATGAAAATCATGACATGCATGTCATGTAACATGACTACATGCCACGCTCATGGTGCACTCGCGGCCGTTTCGCTAGCTTCACTTGTACTAAATTTGGTATTACGGGACATGAATGGATGACAAAGGTATGATACTTGGTGCAAACATGATAAACATGAGATGCATGTCATGTAACAACATGACTACATGCTACGCTCATGATGCGCTTGCGGTCATTTTGCTAGCTTCACATGTACCAAACTCGGTATTACGTGAGGTCAATCGATGCCAAAGGTATGCGACAGGTGCAAACCTAACAATCATGCGATGCGTGTCATGTTAGAACATGACTACATGCCACAGTGAAGGCGCCAATACATTTCGACATGACGCGGTGCGCGTGCTCGCCGGCGTTCATTTTGTTGCGTCACACCGGCGTTGCCAAGCCAGGCGCCGGTCCTGCCATATACCTGCAGGTGCGCGCCGCGCTGTTTAGCTTTGAAGCATGCACTTTTCAGTGCGTCCAGCGTCCCTCTGTCACGAAAAGAAGGGGACGCAGTGTTGTCTGGGTAACCCATCGGCTCTAAATGCCGCATGTCACGTTTCGCGCCGGTTGCCGTCGGGCCGCGCCGACGGACGCTGGTCGGGCCTATAGTAAACTAGATTATGATAGTAAACTAGATTATGAGTGGCGCGAACGGCTGGGCTCTGGCGTCAGCTTTCACGTGAATGCCGCCAGGTGGCGCCGCTGCTAATTTTTATGCCAACTTCGGCTGCTTTGTCGGGCCGTCACGGACTCCTGCAGAGCTACGGATGTGGTTACTTTTAACGCGCGTTTGCTTTCTGGCTCATGCAAACATAAAATTTCGAGGTTAATTACTGTGTGGACAACCTCGCAAAAGAATTGGTGCGGCATCAGGAACCAGTGAGGGTTTTCATCGAGGAATGCGCACCTCACTGCCGTTTATCACGTGCACTAATCGCGCAGGATGTATCTTGGCTCGAAATGATGTTCGCACACCGCTGAAGTTTCGTTCAGAGGCTTGTCAGCCCTCCGGTGGTTGCGCTTTCACTTTCTTCAGAAATCGTCATCCTTGGGAGCTGCAAACAGCGACACCTTCGGAGCGCCCCAGTTACCGATTGGGCAACTCGGAGCAATGAGAATCCGTTCTCTGCTTCGACATGTTGCGAGCTACATGTTTGTTGGTGCGGGATATCTCTCAAAGTACAGACTGCACCCTGGTACAGGCGAGAGAATGCAGCAGATTGCACCGGCACACGTGAAGTAGAGTAGCTTGTTAGAACTGGAAATGCAAAAACTGAGCCTGCAAGAGACGCTCATTGGCTTTGCTCTTTTACGCAGCCCGTGAGCCAGAAAAGCGTGGTACACGTCTCGAAGAACACTTGTTGAGAAGCACGCACACGGACCGGAGAAATGAAGGGCGTGTCTTGTCTGCACTAGGATTTCCTTCCGGCAATCGCTGGCCCTCTCTTCTATATCACTCAGGATAAAAATTATTTCGATCATCAGCGAATGACAAAAAAGCAACAGCATTATGCCTCTAATTTATGGTATTGGCTTTCACTCGTACTTCGAAACGCGCGCATGGGATAAAAGTGACACGGAATAACACCGTACTAGATGTAACACAATACACGAAACGAAAGAAAAGCAGTATATTTACTTTTTCATGTCTTGTTGGGCTGACACTATCTCTTAGGATAACCCATATCTATGCCTTCCGCGAGCCTTGGTCAATTGGAAATACAAACACATACACTCGCGGCCCAGATTCACAGGTTCCACAGAAATGTGGACACAACACTTCCTTGGCACCGCAGCTGCTCGCAATTTTTTCAAAAGCTCCACATATACTTTTCCGTTTCAAAAGCTCCACATTTACTAAATTTGGTATCACGTGACAAGAATAGATGACGAAAGTAAACGACACATCCAAACATGATAATCATGACACGGAAACCATGTACAACATCATTTACGTCCACTTCGTAACGTTCTGCTGACATTAAAGTGACATATAAACCTTTATGATTCATGCTTCATATATCATCGATTCCTGCTGTACATGGGATCTGCCAATGTTGGTAATTACAGATTAATTTACACACACAACCTTATCGCTATTACCAATAATTAGGCTTGTGAGAATATTTGAGCACTTCAGATATTTGAATGAACATTGCAGTGTTCAAATTTGCTTTGATTCAAATTTAAGTTTTTCGAAGTTACAAAGTATTTGAAATAAAAAAATAGGTCAAATGTAACCCAACTGTAAAGGTGGTTTCAGTGCAGTAGAGGGGTGCTCTGCCAAAGAGACATCTACCTTAGAGAAATGTGCATTGCCACGAAGTCCCGCTTCAAGGTTAAACGAACATAATATTTTCACATATATTCATTGTTTTGTAATTTTATAAGCTTATTTTGCTGGCCTATGTGCTCTAAGTAAATGGTAAAACGTAATATATTTCCTAGGTTGTCGCTAGCGCTTTACGGAAAGTCCAATTGTGATACTATACAAAGTTGGTTGCACGGTCTTTGAGCCAAAAAGATTGACATTTGTGCGTGTTTTGTTTCAACTGAAACAAAAGTATTGTTTAGGTTAGTTGGGTCTTGACAAATGTGTTCATTTTTTTTATATCTGATATATAGTATTCGAATTCGCTTCGAAATCATTTGACTAAATCACTATTCGCTTCGAACCTAAAATTTACTGTTCACACAAGCCTACCAATAATGGCATGTCTCGTGACGAATTACCCTGTATTTGAAAACACTGATAGTATTTTCGTAGAAGATCCTTGTGCATCTAGTTTGCATGCACATAGTAGTTTCAAAGTGACGACATTTCACTGTGCATAGTGTGCTGGTAAAGGGACACTAAAGTCAAATAACAATTTACGTCAGAGTGAGAGCTCAATGTATGACAACATTTAAAACGACAATATTATCAACAACAGTGCCCTACTTACCAACAAATTAAGGTAAATGCACAAGAACACATGCGCTGCAGTAGGACATTCTCAGAATGATGCCGATGGCATCAGACGGACCACCTACAATTAATCACTAGTAATAAATTTAGCTGCACTAAATAAAGAACCATCCGTGCATCGAAAGACACAATAAAATGCTGCTTGTTCGTTGGTGTTTGATTCATGAAAAAAATAGCTGCCCGACGTTACTACAGGGAATGGCGCGAGTGGTTTGAAAATTCAATTTTCACATAGCTATACTGGACAGGTGGTGCCATCTAGCGGGGCACAGTTGAACTAAATGTCCACTATCTCGGAGCTAATGGCGGTAAATTGATCAATGGCCAGTGTTGCTGATGTGACTCTCGCTGTTTTCAATTTGCAGCTAGTAGCGCAGTAAAGCCGGGCAACGTTGAGTTCGGCAACAGTGATGCGAGTCGGTCTGGTCGGTCCGCTTCTTGAGGCGGGTAGTTTGAAGTGCGATAACCGGATGTGGATTACTAAAATGTGATTTTATTTCAAAATAGGCCCTTCCTTGGCACAAAAGTAACACTACAAGTTTTCGGGACCGCTATTACAATAATAAACGTAGATTTAATAGTGACCTTTAGTGTCCCTTTAAACGAGTTTTTTTTTTCTTTTTCTGGTGACCGAATTGTAGCTCAAACCCAAGAAGATGTTCAAGCATAAGCACAAGCATGGCTGGAAAGGGTGGAGCAGCAGCAGTAGTTCAAGCTCAAGCGAAGAAGAATGAGTGTCACCCTCGGCATTTCTCAAGAAGCAGCAACAGGCATCGTCAAGGCAGGTTTCGCAGTACTTCCACAATGTCCTCCACGCGTATGGCTGTGGACTGTGTTGTTTTGCAACGTCTTGCAATGTAAAGAAAACTTGTGCAATTGGAGTTTTTTATTTCAGTCACTTCATCATACTTAAAGAGCGTGTTCTAGGATATTAATTGGCAACGCTGTGGTTCTGAGGAACCGCCGACTCAAAAGAAACATCCAGTTACAAGACACCGGAGGCCGCTATTGAAGTACTGTACCAGCATACTACTGAACATCTCGCACGGTTTACATGCCAAGCTGCCTTAGCTTGTCTGCAGGCTTGCACAGTGAGGATATGTACAAGCTTAGTGTTCCAGAGTCCATTTGACACGATTAATGGCAAGTCGTCTCTTGTACAGTGTACTCTTTTCTTCAGGCATGGCCACTGCAAACTCACACCATGTCTAACAAGAATGTAGATTCTGTTTAGTGTAGAAGTGCTGTGCCTAACCACCTGTCTTCTTGAATGTGCCTCTACAACTTCCATAAATGCTTCAATATCTGTGAAATGATTGCTCGCTTAAAACAAGGGCCCTGCAGTTGTTGCCTTTAATAAGAAGCTGAAAGCATGAAATAAGAGTGGCTTTCGATTTTTTAAGAAGCGTAATTATGATCATGTTTAAGTACCTGTGCAGCACTAGCATCCAGTTGTGTTGATCAAAATGGTGCCTTGTGGAAAACGGGGTTTGAGGACTATAAACTGCTATTCAACGACATTGCTATCACAATGCTCGCCATTGCTCACTCTGGCAGTATTGATCGCAACAGTGTCAACATTGCACTGGTGCAAGCTGGCAAACTTTGCAGTTATTTTCACTAGTGTATCATTGTTGCTAATTGATCTGCATGGTGCTAAAGATGGTGTTCTATTAAGTTTTCTTTCTAAGTGCCGCACCGATGTTTAAAAAAGCTGCTTTCGTTGCTCATATGTTAACACTTTGTTGCCATGTTGCAGCCAAAAGGTCATGTAGTCTTGACATATCGTTCCTAATCATTCTTCTGTGCAGTAACAGCCGTGATAGCCTAGTGGCTATTGCGTTGTGCTTTAAAGCCCAACGTCACATGATTAAATCACCACAACTGCATCCAAACTTCAATTATTGTGGCCAAAATACACAATTTCCTGCAAATTACATATCGGGTGCTAGGTACGTATAGTTGTGGCGTGCCTTATTTTCAGATCTTGGTTTGGCAACTCAAAACCCCCAATTTTTTTTTTTTGTTTTGTTTGCCAATGTTGTTGCCCACTGAGTATACGCTATATCTAATACCAGAAATGTGCTGAAACACAGGACACTGTTCTAGGCTCTTTCAAGATTCTGCCATTTTTCTCAATTTTCATTACAGTGGCAATTTGAATAAGCCAATCCAATCAGAAAACCGTAGAAGCTCCCTGCGCTGCTCTGGGTCAATAATATGGCAAAGTTTGGCAGTTCCCATTATGTTACCCTTAGTAAAATTGCATTACCAGGTCTACAGTCATTCTCTTGAAGGCTACCATATCTTCTTGCGTATTTTTGGGGATTCAAGATAGGTGGCAGTGACAGCAATGACCGAAACCGGCAATCGTCGAGGCCGGAGGAGTGACACTGGTGATTGAAACTGAGCTCGAACAAAGTTCTTGCAATGTTCAGGCATTGGGTGTGGGGTCATCTTTATGACGACATTCAAATGTGCACAGTGGGAATGCATTTCGTGAGATATTTTTTCACAATTATTATAGTTGGAGTTGTAGGTTACACGCAGGTGCAGGTTACAAGTGATGAAATGCGATACTTCGATACAGCACTACCATTGACATTTCTGGAGTGATGCGCAGAGTTGCCTGTCGCTGGATGCATGCGACTTTATCTCAGGATGTAACTCATTGCACTGTTACCTCAGCATTAAATGCACTTTGAATACATTATATTTTCTGCTGTGCACCACTGTGACTCCTTGGATGCTTATCATATAGTTGCTGTCTTTCTCCACGATGAAAGTTTAGATGTGTGATTCTACATGTTGATCGTGTAAGAGTGACTTTACTGTGCCTAGGTGTTTGCATAAGTAACCACGTGTGTTTTCTTTTCTAAGCCATTCTTTCTCTCCGTCATTTGTGCGTGTTACTACTTCCATGCTCTAATGTTACCTTTTATGTCACCACCTATTGCCAAGCCTTCTGAATGTCAATGTCATGTGTTTTAATTCTAGATTTGGAGTGCTCACTCCACTTTGCAATTGAGGGAACCAGAGCGATTTATTGTGAAGTGTACGATAAAGCGTTCTGAAATGCTTTTTAATGCCCATTATGTACACAGTCAATCGATGTGTTCATGTTTGATGGAGGTACGTCACCTTTTCAACGTTTACTTGTCAATCTAGCAAGTGGCGCTGTACAGTGAGCACATTTCGATGTGTACCTGGCATAGAGTTTCTCTAGCAATTTGCAGTAACCTCAGTGCGTCTTCTCTTTTTTACACGAAGTAGCAAAGCGGGCAGATTGAGTGTTTTCAGCAATGATAGGGACGTTTAGCATGTCCATAATTGTGTTGAACTTCAAGAAACATCGGTTTACTGAAAACATAATTGTCTGGTTCGATGGTGCACCCTTTAACCAGAGCGGATGCTGCATGATTATTACAATTTACAATAACTAACAAGCTGTGCTGCCATTCATGCTGGTAATATCATGGTATTCTGTGATAGGTTATAGATTTATAAAAACCCTGTAGTGCAAAGCTGCAGTGTCCCAGATAGCCTTGACTGAAACTATATTTGCATGTAACCTCTTAAAGGGCCCATACACCACCTCAGATATTTTTTTTCAAACATTCTGAACGTGTGAATCGTGTGCAGAATGTCGTCGCGATCAACAATTCTACACGTGGCAGCGCTTCAAGTTGCTAGCGTGCCACAAATTCTAAGAAACAATCTCTCCTTCTTTCCAGGCCTTTCGGGCCTCTGCGTGATGTGCCGTACGAATATCTCTGAAGCGCCGTTCAAATATCCACGCTAGCCACAAATGTGGTGTGATTGGTCGAGCAAGAGCCTACGACTTCCGGTTAGCCTGCAAGCAGCTGTCCACGCTGCTTCTTGTTCGTCGTGCGTACGAGTCCATAGTGATGGTCACCCTTTGAAGGCATGGACGCAATGCACCGTCCATACTGGCACAATTCGTATGAGCACGGGCCGGCACGGCAGGCGCGGTTCGCCAACAAGCGCCAAGTTGAAGGAGTCTGGGCAATCGGAAGTAGATAATGTTTCAAGCAGCGCGTCAGCGATGAGATATGCTACGCGACATTGGGAAAGGCACTCGGCGAGAGGGCAAAGTGGCTTTGGGAGAGGATACCATGGGGGGTAGTGCAGGAGAGAGCGAAAGAAGGAATTGTGGTGCTTTCGATAATCAAACACGTCTAACTCTGCTATTGCGGCACTGTTTCATAAAATTCTCACAGCTCTGTCTTTGTCGTAGACTCGCGCACAATTTCTTCACCACAACTGAATTTCGACCTCTGGATGATTTACTGGCCCTTTAAACCTTCTTGCAGTCATCGTTGTTTTTGTTCAGAAACATCCTTTTGCTGGAAAACGCCTGATATGACTACATCTTCAATTAGCAGTAATTGCATTATTTTTAGCACTAAGGTCTCCGCATTTAATTCTGAGCACTGTCATCTGTAAGTGAATATTGCTTTCCCTAATACGAGTCTGAGGAAATTTTAAAATTCGTCATACTTAAAATGTGGGTTAAGTTTCAAAATTTACACTTTAGGGCCATATGCCGTCTTCCACAGTCGCTTTTACATTTGAAAAATCATTGTACAAGTTTACATGCTACAAGAAAACCCAAATGGTAGTTTTCGAGGTGTGTGTTTTCTAACATGCGGTCTTGAATTCTGGTACCTTTGTTTGCACTTAGTATTTCTCTATTGAAATATATATGTCAGAGAAAGTTTATTTAGCTTTGACAACATAATATATTGCTGTTTCATGTTTGTTTGCTTTTTTATTTTATTCTGGCTGATCATTGCTGTTAACAGAAGCCACATGCACAAAATCGAAATACATATCTCACATGGTGCAACAAAGGTTGGAAGAGTGTTAGCTGCTTACTGGCTTCACTTTTTGACATAAATGAATGTGTGGAAGATGTGACTGCAATAATAAAAGTATTTGCTTTTGTTTTCTTGTTTTATCTGTACAATGCCTCGAGGTTCTACTCTAGTACAGACTTTGCCGTTCTGCAGCCAATCGCGGCCTCACAGGTTTGGTTGTCATTTGTTCTCTCATGAGGTGATAGCACAAAACTACGAGTCCTCAGAGGTGACTTAGGGTGAAATACCAGGCAATCTGAAGTGACCTCTGCCACTGCTTCAGCTACGATACAACTTTGAAGTTACTTCGGCAGAAATACACGCTTCGATACACACATCATCTCGCCCTTACGAAAGTTATGTGGGCTTCTGATAGATAACAGCGAGCTATGTACATGCACCTTTTACCACTGGCAATGAGCTTGATATAAACATTCTTGCACAAAACATGCACTTTTTTTTGGAGAAGCCATACATGCTTTTCCGTGCCCAATCGCTGCCTTTCCGTGCCCATTGACGTGCCCAATGGCTTGATCAGTGGAGGGGCGCCATCATTCAGATCCCATCAAAATGCACACCATCGCTTTCACTTTGGACCGACAAACTCAACTCTCTGCCCCAGATGAGTTGTGGTGACGTATGCACCGTTAAAACATCGTACGGCTTCGTTATTGCAACAGTGAACTCTGTGGACTGCCGTCGTAAACGTCTTGCTGCACAACTTCCGTGCGGTGTGCCTACAGGATATGCTGGTGATAGCCACTGGAGACTGCAAAGTTAATGTCATTCGACGCGAAAAACCAGTGGCTTGTCACATTTCTCTATGCTGAATTGGACTTCGCCTTCTGTCGGATGTCACATAGTCAACTATTCACAACACCTGTTTAGATATTGCGGTAACTGCATTCCTGTCAAGTTTAGCCCAATGAACCGTGTTCACTACATTTCGTACGGTTTCTCAACCTCCTAGCCTTACTTTGTATAACAACCCGATGTGTAGCTATCACATTCGTTGCTTCTGCCCCGAGTCGAAACTGCGAGTTTTTTCCAATAGCCACGGTGGGGTCTTCCGCGAAGCAAGCATAAGAGCATGGTACAGTAAAGTAGCAGTTTTGGGACCGTAAAGGGTACTTGAAACTAATGCATGGCGCCTTTTGGAGCTAATTGCTGCGGTAGGACACACAAAAGGTTCCAACAAAGAATGTGCCGTACCAGCCGAACGTTGCCGAGTATGCCAATTCCTTCGGCACCAGGTCAGGTGATGCTTCAGAAACCTCATTTTCATATACAGATGTGCGCAATATGGTAGGTCAATCTACAGTGACAACAAAAAGTAATAAAGTCAACAAGCAAGTATAAGGAACCGAGGCAATCAAACACACATACGGCATGCAGCAAGGGTAAAGTGGAACCTTGAACACACCTTTGCTGGGGTATTGGCCAACAACCGAGTAGCCATAATGACCTCATAGGTGTTTTCTTTGTAGACATGGTGTGCGTCCAAATTCGCGGTGAAATTTGCATTTTAGGTTCTAGTCATCAAATATATCACAGCTTTTAGGTGAAGTTCTTCGCGTTTCTGGTACTACACACAAGGCGGCGTCTAGCTACCATCCTGAAACAAACGGTCTGACCGAGAGATTTTATCGAACCCTTGCCGACATGATTGCCGTGTACATTCAACCGGATCACAGAAACTGGGATAAACTTCTACCGTTCCTCACTTTCACTTGCAATACTGCTGTTCAGCGCACAACCAGCTACTCACCGTTTTATCTTGTTTACAGACGTTCACCTACTTTCTTTATCGACGTTTCCTTCTTCACCAGCAATGTCCCTCCATCACCGTCCTTTTGCGAGGAATACATTTCTTGCCTTTCTCAGTGCTGCCAGCGTGCTCATATGAACACGGAAGCTACGCAAAAAGCAAGGAAGGCCGTCTACCACACCTCTCATTATGTGGTATCATTCCGACCGGGTGTTGAGGTGCTGCTATTGACACCGATTTGCACACCTGGTCTGTGCGACAAGTTCCAGCATCGATTCATCGGCCCACATGTAGTTTTAGAGCAGACTTCACCTGTCAACTATCGTGTGATGCCTCTTGTCGTGCCAACTGACCGCCATTACCGCAGCACCGAAATTGCACACGTTTCCCGCATGAAGCTTTTCACACGACGTTTTTCGTCACCTTGACTACCCGCCCGCAGCGGCCAGGCTGGCCACTTCCACATAACGGGAATTAGTGTAGGCACCTATTATGCGCTTCATCCTCATCTGAACAGCAGTCAATCATCATCACTTGTTCTGGTTGACAATCATCATCGTCATTAAACGTGCGCTCTATCTTCGGGTGGAAGTTGCGCTTGTTCGTTCCCGAGTTCACGGCCAATAAACCTCGTTGCAACCAAGTCGTTATAATATGTAGGTTATTTCAGTTTCTCAATTATACGCTTACTGCTTAATTATACGTTTACCTGCTGGCACGATAAAACAATGGCTAAGCATTTACTTAAGAGGACCGATAGCCAAATCTCCTTTTGCCGCATGCTGAAGGACTAAAAAGCCTCACCAAATTATTGCCCAAGGTTAGAACACTGTCTCCAAGATCAAAAGATGTTGCGCGACTGTGGAGGACACATTCGCCGTTACTACACGTGCACATTCGAGGGAATCCTAAAACAGTGCACCACCTGTACTTTGATGAATAACTTGTTGCGGTGCTAGCATGCATTCTCTATCGAACATTTTAACAGTCACACTACTGCCAGAGAAAAAAAAAATGAAAGTGATCTTTGTAGAAATAATAAATCCCTCCTCTGCATTAAAAAAAAAAAACAAATATTTTCTCTGAGAAAAAGCTTTCAAAAGAGAAAACATCAAAGGAAAGCAAAAAAATTGCCCGCAGCTTCCCTCGGGGGAACACTGAGGAGGATGCGGACCATATAATTGGTTAACGGGGTGTTAAAGTGCGACTTACTTGGGTCGATGGCTAAATTGGTTAACGTGGTTGTGAAATGGGGTGTTAAATTGCGACTTACTTGGGTCGATGGCTAAATTGGTTAACGTGGTTGTAGGAGGGGGTGTTAAATGAGTGAACACGTACACACGTATGCGAAAGGGCGGCGCTGGTCGAAGGGACGTCGATCGTTGTGTTTGTGGATTCGTTGGAATTCATTTCACCGCGACCTTGGACGTCGACGCGCCGTACAAACCAACCGACGAGCGGCAACTGAGCGAGCGAGCGCCGACCTTGAGTATATAAACAGCACGACGGCGCATGCACTGTCAGCTGTTGAATGTTCTCGAAGCGCGACGCCACATGCACGTCCACTGGAGAATCAGGAGAATTGTAGATGTCGAACGCGGTGTGTAGAGGAGGAAGGGTGCACAGATGGTGGAGGAGTGAAGCGCGCGCGGTGTGTAGAGGAGGAAGGGATGCACAGATGGTGGAAGAGTGGGCGACGGCGCGACAGGCGCATGCGCGCGCGTCAGCTGTCGAATGTTTGAGAAGCGGTGCGGACGGCGCACTACAAGGCGCGAGTATAAGATGCTTCCGCATCTAAAATGACTTTATAACCACCATTAACCACTATCACTGTATTGCCGTTTTGAAGGGTTGGTGAAATCTGGTGAAATTTTGTTTGAGAGTTGGTGTCGGGGCCTTCTTTGAATTTTTCAACACTGCTTTGTAGTCACAGTGATTGTTTTGATGCGACCTACGTCTGTCTTGGGTTACATGAAAAAGCACAGAAAACACATTAGTAACCTCAGTTTTGATCCCTTGCCATGATCGCTTCTAACCTTACATGTGCCCAATCACAGGCCCATGCCATGCATCATTTCGGCCAGCAATAGTTCTGGCGAGCACCACTACGTGCTGATGCAGTCAGTAGCAATGCATCGATTTCATTGCATGGTTAATATACTAAATCGTTTGATATCGAGGCATACTAAAATTATCTCTAGCCATCACAATATGCAAAACACACGTAAAATTGGGTGCATCAAAAGTGTTGGTACAGCCCCCTCCCCCACCCGTAAGTGTTCAGTCTTTTTGCGATAGTAAATTCATCTCTCGTCCTCATAGTTCCTTTTTTTTTACCACAAAGTGCCACGCATCTCTAACCTCTACTACTATAAATCTCCATGATATTTTATAAGACCACTTAATTCTTGGCCAATCCCCCACAGCGGATACGAGCCACAAGAGAAGAGTTGAGCCGTTCTTCCAGGAACCAACAAAACCATTCTTGTATTCGTATTGCTGCATTTATATTTTGGTTTTTATATTCAAGACTCTGGCACATACCCACTTAGTGGGATTGGCGAAGACCAAGTATTGCAACTTTTCGACGGCAACTTCGAGAACGCCCAATAAAAATATTAGACAAAAAAAGATTAGATTATGAGGAGGCAACAAATGGACTTGACAGCTAACATGTCGGCAAAACGAACAGATCGGGCAGTTGTATCCGCCTGACCAGACAAATATAGAATGACTGCATTAGATATTTAATTAAACACAGCTATAGCGCCGTTTCTCCGTTCCTTGCACGGTTCGCCCGCCAGTGCGACGGTGTCGATCCTGGCGAAGACGACCCGCAAGATTCACTGCACGTGGATAAACACACAGTTCGTCTTGACACACACGTGACACTTCTACGAGTTCTCGGTCTCCTGGAAGAGGCACTCGGGACACGAGTAGAATATCGTCTGGCCTTCGTCGGCCGACCTCGTCTGCAGCGTGGCGTACGTCATCCCTTCGTGGCCGCACCTGGAACACTTGCGGTCCACCAGCGGTCCGGCGGGCTTGGCCGTCGACGTCGGCGCCGCCTTCTTGAGGGCCGCCTTGCGGTCGTTGAACACCACGCGCGAGAAGGTCTCCAGGCCGTGGAAGTTGCGCACGTCGATCCTGGCGCCGCACAGCTTGCACTCCACGTAGTCCTCGTGGCTGGGCAAAGGCAGCACGGAGCCGCAGCGCTGGCAGAAGTCCGGGTCCGAGGCGAACAGCTCCGTCGGCGACTCCGTCATCTTTGTCTGCGGAATTTTAGGAAACTCTTTGGTCTGTGGGGCTTAGCTGAACCGGCTGAACAGCGCACGGCGTGTACGACTACAATGGCACGACTTGTTTAGCGATGTAAGTTGCCATGTTGATTCACTACGTCAACCAAAACGTCAATAAAACAACGTACAAGGCGACGTTTTTTTAAATAACGCAAACAGCGCTACCAGTGTTTATTAGTAGTTCAACTTTTTGCACGTGAAATGCAAATAAATGTTACCAAACAAGTAAATAAGTTCTACGTCACGCTGACGTCATGTTTTAGTTTTATTGTTGAGGAAGCATATTTCTCAAATTTTGTCACTAGATTTAATGCTTCGCACCATGTTCTGCTAATGACAGTTTTAAGAGTTGAGCTGCTGTGCTGGTTTTAAGCTTGAGAACGCGGCTCGGAAAAGTTTTAATAGTGACTCATCGCTGTAGTGATATTAGCGTCATAATGACGACACCAATGCGCACGTTACGTCACACAAAAAGCGTTTCAAAAAATAACGTAGTACGTGTCACACACAACAAATAATATATTGCAGTCAAAATACAATGGACATAAAATTGCGCACTTTTCAATTTCTGGTTGATTTTGATTCGCGTATCAAAATTTGCTTCGTGGGCCAATCAGAGCGCTATTCGGCATTCGTTTGTGACGCACCATGACCGAGGACACAGCCGATCATGAAAACTCCAACGAATCAACGGTAAAACGGGTTTCTACCTCCTCGCGTTTATTTTTAACGCGTTCATAAAGCTCCAAGGGTTCTGAAAACGTGCTACACTTGTCTGAACATTGCGCCACCGATTTAGCGCGAGCTTATTTAGCTCTGGGTTTGGCTGAGCGAAAGTCGGCCATTTTGGTTTTGCCAGCGCCGCGTAGGGGCGCTAGCGATTTTGTTGACATTTGCATCTCCCGCACGTGCACTGTGCGTACTCGGCGAGCCGCTTGTTTTGCTTTCGCGCCCCACGACAAGCGTCTAATGTCGATATACCTCTAGCGTATTCGATAGTAGAAGAGTTCCCTTACTGATTGCGCATTCGTTTTGCTTGCCCTTCAGCCCCAAGTCACTGAGGGATGTCGGATGCCAGTTCGTATGCGCAACAGTAATGACTGGCGTAAGTATGAATGACGTTTTCAACCTGTGACTATTAGAGGACGCTTTTTGACTGATCTGCAGCAGTTCGTTGAAACACGAAGCCCGTCGTTTACATCTTGTCTGAATAAAGTACTTCATCAACGTCCAAAACGAACCGGTATTTTCTGGTGTCTCATGTGGACTTGACACCTTACGGGGTTTGTATGGCACTAGTTGCCGTTTTGAAATGCCGCATTTGGCAGTATAAAGTAAGCAGTTGTTGTTTTCGTGAAGTTTGAGATAAAAGGTGGCGCTGCAACGCAGCGCGTGTCGTCTGCTAGATTTCATGTGGATGTAGCAGACGACGCTGCGTGTGCCGCGAATACCGGGCGCTCGTCGGAAGCTTTTGCGGCGATCACTTTAATCCCTCCGTAATAAGTATGATAACACTGCATGAGCCGCTCAATGTCGTCCGGCGGGTCATTTGGACCAGCCTCGTGTCCAGATTGCAGCCGTGGCAGCTTAACGACTTAAGGTGTAGCTCTGCTGAGCAAAGGGGCGTGGGTTCGGCACACGGTGGCCTCGTTCAGATTGGAGAAGATTGCGAAAACATTCATGTGCTTAGATATAGCGACAGTTATCCAGCATATAGCATAATATGGTTTTGGTTCGTAAGACCGCAAATGCATTCTTTATTGTAGGCCCGTGTGCTCAGATCTCGGTGCACGTTAAAGAACACCAGGTGGTAAAAATTTGCGGAGCCCTCCACTACGGCGTGTCTCATAATCATATGAAGGTGCTAGGACGTTAAGCGTCACATATCTATCTACCTAATGTATTCTGTCGTTTGAAATGGTTAGAGCTGTGTAGCACGTAGTTTTAAAGCCAAAAAATTAACTACAGTGAAATTTATGTTGTGTCACATGCCAAAAACATGATTGTGAGGAATGCTGTAATGGGGAGCCCGTCAACACTTTTGTTCATTGAACGTTCTCCTGTTTGAAAATTTCTCTTTTTTTATATTGAATGTTTTGCTCTTTGAAAGACATGTTTTGATTGACAATAAAAATTGAGTGGTATATCAAGTCAAATTAGCCTAACAAGCTTTATTGCCCCATGGCCTGTTAGTGTTTCATGTTTTGTGAAATAGTGTCTTTGTCGAGAAATTGGTGAATATAACACGTGAAGTCATCAAAGTAAACTCCGGTGTTTTTGTAATTAGCTGTTGAGGAACTGCACGATGACCAAAGGCTTGTTCTCTTCAATAATGCACAAGCAACACACGTGTTGCCTTCACTGAACAACATTTCCTAAACACATATAAAGCTGAAATTCCTGAGCTAGTGCTGCCATCTGTAAAGTGACATACGAACTAGTTCGGAAACAAGCGAGTCTCATTCGAAATGCATATGAGGAGATATTATCTCTAGGGAGTGAACCAGACTCATCCCAAATGGGTTGGGCACAGTTTGACAAATGTGAGCTCTTCTCATCCATGGTTAAGGGCTTAATGTGCGCATAAACCTAAATACAGGGACTGTCTCAATACTTACTTTTTTGTAGTGGGCTGCCTGACGATGCTTCAGGCAAAGATATTAGTGGAGAACGTAAGCTTCAAAATCAGCCTGGTCTCAGTTGCCTGCGGACATTTGTTTAGGCATGTCGTGCACCATGTTGTGGTATCTACTGCGCCCCAATTAAAGAAAAAGTGGGGGGTGGGGGGGAGCAGTTTATGAAGCAGCATTATGCAATAAAGTTTGGTGTGAAAGTGGGTGTAAATGAAGCAGAGGTGCTCGAAATGCTTCAGAAAGCCCACAATGGTGATGAGACAAAACTAGGCCAAACTTTCACATGGCGCAAGAGGTTCTAAGATTGTTGGGAGTCCGTCACTGCTCAGGGCAGCTGTTGATATCGCAGGCTGCTTGGTGTAAAAAGTGCATCAATTTTTTGACAAGGAACAACGATGAAGTGTCCACATGATTGCAGAGGAGTGTAGATTACCCGAAACACTCATTAATCTTTACTGGAGAGTCCTCAAATGAGGAAAGTCTGTACAAAAGTGGTGCCAAAAGTCCTCATGGGTGAAATGAAGGAAGAGCCTTTGTTGAGGTGTCAGAAATTTCATGGATGCAATGAAAATGGACCTAGAATTTTTGGACAGAGTGATGATAGGGGACGACGCTTGGATTTTGAGTTTGATTTAAAATAATTTATATTTGTGTTAAATTTAATGTTAAGTAAGGTAGTTTGCAATGGCCAAGTTGTTACGCTCGTTCTGTAATTGTATTGTTCAAATTTTAATGTTCCATATTTTACAGTGTAGTGAGCTGTCACAGTCTTTTATTTTTCTTTCTCTCTATGTTGGACATCATCTAGTATAATGTTTACTATGTTCCTGCATACATCGATGTAACATTTGTTCTTTGTTCCCACTCTTTTATGCATTTATATCTGTCTTTCAAATTACTGTGCACTTAAAGGGGCTATCATGTTGTCGCCAAACAATTTGTAGTTTTCAGCAAAAACTAGAAGTAGAGAGTCTATATACCTATACAGGTATGAAATATGAGTTGTAAAAGAACATTTTAGTGCAAAACAGGCCCTAGAAGTTTCTAGCTCTAAATTCTGCCCACCGCTGGGGATTGCCATTTTGCCAAGGCAGCTGTAACGTCATGTGCATATTCTACCTCAGTTTTACTCGCTGCAAGTTGTTTACTTTCAGTGCCAAGCAGGAGAAATCTCAAATATCTTGATTTCGCGTGCAACTGACAATGGAACGATATTGTTTGCCGAACGCAGATGCTCACACGACCAGCTGTTTGTTATTTTTTTATGTTATTACCCACAGCACCAATTGGCATTACAGTGGGGGAGCGTTTACAAAAAGTAGAATACAAAGAAAGATTGTCAGCCAAACCAATAATCAAAGTCATCTTAATCACAATCCGCTACACCAATACCTATATCAATGAAAAATACAACACACTCATTCTAACAGAGAATAAAACAAATCATTTGACATGGTAGAGGCAATGCTAGAACGCAGTAGGTTCCATGTCACGACTTGCGAGTGCACCAGTGTTGCCTGCCTCTCAGGCCGTTTGCGTGTTTGTAAATATATTCAATAATGAATTGTGGGCTCATCTAAATGCGCCTAAATATTGTCAGCTTATTTGTGGGTGATGAAAGATTTACCCACATTACACAAATTATGATCGAAAATTTGGTGTCATGGTTCCTTTGAGCATTTTCTTGCTTTACCCCCCCCCCCCCCTGTTACAATACCTCCCCTTTTACTGCAATGAGTCTATGGACCTGTTAGTTACTTATAAATTAATGTGAAAAATCGTCAGAGCAGCGAGTGGCATACCAGAAAGCCCTGAAAAAAGAAAGAACGAACAAATTGCAAATCAAAATAATGCTTATTGTGTCTTTTAACAGAAAATCTGCGGCTCATAGTGAATTTCTGCCACAGGTACAGTCAACAAGGAGTTTTCTTTTGAGGGCTCAAAACAGTGCCAAATTCACACCATGGTTTTATTATCACAACCTTTCACCATTCACTCTCACTAGACGTATTTCACGTCACTCATGATTTTAATACTTCTATGTTTTTACCCACATTAGCTCAAGGAATTTTAAGGCCCTTATACAGCCACCTATCATGATCATTGTTCGCATCTCTTGTCGCCTGACTTGATGCTCCTTGGCCATCAAATAGCCCTTGTTCTATCAAACACCACACATCTTCATCATTGCATTCAAAAAGAAATTCAAGGCAATTGAACCTTGCACCATGACAACGCACCAAGCCACACTGAGCCCATTGTCGCATAGTAGCTGGCCAAAATGAATGTGCCAGCACTTAAAGCTCCTATCTGGCACCAGTGGACGTCTTCTTGCTCCTAAACATCAAAAGAACTTTGAAAGAAACACGGCATGGGACTCTGGTAATGGAAAAAGTAGTAGCAATGTAAAAAAACCTCGTTCCCCTCAAGGGGAACATGGTTCCCATTGATGACTCAATGTGCCTTCAGTGATGGGATGAAGCATGAAGTGACTGCATGATGCTGAATCGAAGCAGGGGGAAAATACCCAGAAAAGTTATAAAAAAGTTACAGGCTGATATTGAATCAATGCATTATATAAAAAAAACGTAACGAGAACTTTTAGGAAACGTACAGAGAGCTTTTGGGACAGACCCTGTACACAGGTGTTCTTGCGTTTCACCCCTATAATCAATTTTATTCATCTAGTTTGTTCAATCAAAATTAGGTGGCGCCACTGTACTGTGGCCTTCCCTGTTTCATGGCCTTTGACAGTGCTGCTTATTATGTCTCCATCATTGCTGCGTCTTCTGTGCACACGCGTTGGGCAAGTAAAAGCAAGCAGACAGCAGTACCAAAATAAAGTCAACTTGATGGCACTTGTGGAAGTGGTTTGCTTCCACCTTGAATTTATCGGGTTGTCGTGCACTTTGTGACCCATAAGTTTGAAACCTGCACTTTTATTTGCCTTATATTTGTGTTCTGAAGCATTGAAAGCACTGTATTTATTGGCGTTTGGCAGTGTTTCCAAGAATATTTCTCGAATTCTTGGAGAGAAGGCTTGGCAGGCATGGCATAGCTAAATAAACCCTGATGATCCCATTAGTAAAGACACTTTGTCCTGGTGCTTTGTGCTCAGTTTGAGATAATATAAAGTGATAGCCAATTCTGTTTATCAGCAAGGGTCAGTTCGGATTGAAGGAGGTGGTTGCATCTGCATCGTTGCTGCTATGTTGGCTTCTAACTCCAGCTACCTATGCCGGACATATGCCAGAAATGCAAAGTATAATAAACATATTGCATATTTCTGCTGTGTAGTACCCACCAAAAAAAACACAAATGTCTCAACATCATCTATTTTCGGGCAATTACATGCACAACTATGTTTTGCTGTACAAGGTTGTGATTTGCTTACATTCCACTGCAACCAGCCTGTGTGATACAGCCATAGTCAGCTTATATGGCAACGGCCGCTTTTCTGGCTTAAAGCGTTGGCCTGGGGAAGGCCATTTATGATCAGATTATCTTAAACGTGGCTGCACCCAGGTGCCGCTGCAGAAAATTGTATACAGAAATGCAGCAATGAAGCCCAGGAAACTAGCCCATGTTCTTCAGCTTAGCAGCGTAACACACATACCTGCTCGATAAGCATGGCGGGTAAATTCAGGGAAAAAGCACAACAGTGGTCGTCATTGGAAAAAATTGTGCTTCATGGTTACTCCCTACCAGAGAATTGATGCTGACCAGCCACGTTATCACTGACCTATGCTCGTTCTTTCTACTTCCAGCACTTGCCGAGATCCTCAGCATCAAGGAGCTACCCGACAATCAGTGCCTGTACTACGTTCACTTCATTGATTGTGAGTACAGCCACACGTTTGCTTCATCATTTGAACTAGACGATGCTTCTGATTTCTTCCTTCTCTTCAGAATGCCTCAACAGTGAGGGTGGAGGAGAGGTCGCAGATTTTTTTTGTTAGATAGGAGTGCGGAAAACAGTAATAGCGCAGCAAAGATGGTACATTGAATTTGGCTCAAATGCAGAGCACGGAAAAATGCAATGTGAACCTTTTGGGGCATTCACATTTCAATGGTAATATCCCAGACAAAGCAAGCCAAGCTCAAACTAACGATCGACCGCGGTTTGTATATGTTCATTATTTGGCCTGTTGTGCTAATGCATATCATGTTCAACAATGACTTTAGTTTTGTTAACCATGATGAAGGTTGTTTGTTTGACAGGAATATTGGTTTGGAGTGGCTCACGGCTGTTGCTCTTGTCCGCAGACAACAAGCGTCTGGACGAGTGGGTGACAGTCGAGCGCTTGGACCTGAAGAAGTTGCAGTTACCACGAAAGGAGAATAAGACTCCCTTGAAAGACGTCAAGAATGGATCTCGACCATGCTCACCCGACTTGCTGGCACCAACATCTGTGGTGAGTGCTTTTTTTTCTTCTTTTTATAGCAAAGATGTTGATAGAAAACCTTCTCGATTTGAGGTGGGCGTTCACTGACAGACCCCATAACCTTCTTTGTGGAAGTGGTGACATTATGTGCATCGTGTGAGTTCACTGGGACGTCATAAGATGCCAAAACTTGCGACGTCATCCTGACATCACATGATGGCTTCATTAAGTGACATAATCAATTGAGATCATGGATTGGTTGAAGGTGATCCCAGATGCTGTGCGTTATATGTAAGAGTAATGTGTCTTTGTACGTGTTCTATCGTGTCAATCAAGTGTACTACGTGCTGCTTTAACGCGGTCGTGCGGGACAAGTGTGGGTCTGGCACTCACAGTGGTAACAGCAGAGAAGAAGCACGCTTATGAAAAATGCCGACGACAGCACGAACAGGAGTTTGTTCCTCAGCTGTCCTGGTCATCCACGTTGACAAGTGCAATGGCTCCAATCTTTCGTCCCTTGATCGATTCTCTCTGAAGGGGGGTCCACGTAAACAGCAACTCATTATTTGCCATTTTTGGACCACTGCAGCAAACGACGTTTGTTTGCTGTGCAGAAGAATGGGCCCAGGGCCCGCTTCTGTCAGTGGCAGTCGCCTCACGACGAGACCAGTCAGCCATGCAAGTAATGCTCTAGTTTTGCTGGCAGCTGCCAAGTGTTGCCGTGTTGAGTGCAGGTTTCATCTCTAGTGCTTCAACGCTGTAGTTAAAGCTGCTCCAATGCTAACTGCTGACATTCGCAAACCATCGTGTTTTGTTACGATCATGGTGTAAGAAAAATAGTTTAGGTGTTGACACTGTCTGCCCACTGCAACAGTGAGCGCATTCAGATGTTTGGCTTTAGTGCATGCACTGGCCACAGTTTCGTGCGGGGTGCAGCGACTGGGCACGAAGAGGCAGACACAAGTTTTTTTTATCTTCGTATTTTTTTCTTAAAGTGTCGTGCACGCTTGTAACTAGAGCTAGCAATTCATGCTGCATTTTTCAGCGACTGAAAAACACCACAACTGCCTCCACAGTGTAAGAAAAATATCTTTTTTTACACAGTGGTTCCTACCCTGTATTCTCATCTACGCAATACCTTTATGGTTACCACATACGCAGCATGTATTCTATAGCAAACACGCTGGCAGCATTTGCTTGGGAGGTACCGTGACATTGGGGCCTAGAGGGACAGAAAGTGCCCAACACAATCTGGACCCGCTGTGGGGTGAAGTGTCAACACCTCAATTATTTTTCTTACACCATGGTTGCAATATATGGTGCTCGATCCTTTCCTCGCAATAATTTCAAGCACAAAAATGTGCCAGTATGTCTAGGTGACGTGCAGGCTCACATTTCAAGGGTTCCAGTGGGTAGAGCCCTGTCATGACGTCCTTGCAATCAGCATGACGCTGTTTTCGGATGTTCAGTTATGTGTGTTAGCAAGAGCTCACATGCGGACTTTGCTGCTCTTTTAGGGCGATGTCTCAATAAAAATTTTGAGCAGAGGTACGACAGTTCACAATATGTCACTTGTGAATCCTCCACCAGCAGTAATCACTAGTACAGCCGTTAGTGTTCATGCTGTTGAAAAGTGCTTGACTTGCTCCTTTCTTTTATAACATACAGGAACGACCTACTCCAGCTGTAAGTATATACATGCAAGAGCATGTCACCAATAAGTGAAGCCAAAAAATTACAAATTACATTTATGTGACAATTTACGATTGTCATGCTCCCATTGCAAAAAACAAAAACTGATTGCAGTGGAAATTCACCAACATTACGTTTGTATCGCATGCTCCGTAGCGTGTGTTGTCGGTGCCCTGAAAGTGGGAATTGCTAGTGTATGAAGAATTTGGCATGCCCTAAATGCCATCTAGTCTCGCACATTTCTGTTCCCATAGGATCGTCCAGGTCCCATCGTAAGTAAATGCCCACGTTTTTGAATTTCACATTTGCAGCATGTATGTGATAAATCTTCTCACTTGATGCTGAGTTTTTGATATTCAAAAAAGGGCAATGGCCACCCTCACATGTATGCTATTTTGGAAACAGAATTAGTCTGGGACAATGAAAAAAAAAAAAAAGCATAGAAGAAAGCTTGTTCAACCTACTAGCTTGTGAAAAAAAGAGAGAAAGAAATAAATACTGTATCTCTCTTCCTTGTCATTTCTGTATTCATTTCGTATGAGTTATAGATTTTACTGTGACTTAGTGGCACGGTGGTAGAATAGGAAAGGCAGCCGATGCGCTGCGTGTTGCTTGAAATCACTAGAGTTGCCACCACTTTGTGCAAGGGGGCAGCAAGGGTACTGTGCCCCGATTTCTTCATTTCAAGCGTGTTTGTAAGCACGTAGCTGGTGAGCGCTGCAAGCATGCAAACCGCCTTTTTACATCTCTGGCTCTTGAGAAAGAGCTCTGCGGTGTATTGCTCAACAGCGGAGAGGTCATGAATGACGCTGAATTGTTAGTGAAATTTTAAGGGCTCATTTTTTCTTGTTAGGCACTTCATTAATGAGAGCTAACAGACAGTAATGCCAGGTAAAGTATAGGGGACATTATTAGAAGTAACTGTAATGTAAATGAGAAGTAAGAAAAGTGGACAAAGAGATAACTTGCCACCGGCAGGATCTGAACCTGCGACCTTCGAATAATGCGTCCGATGCTGTACCACGGAGCTATGTACTATGGGATGCCAGACAGGCAAAAGTGCTCCACACCCGCCGCAATGGTAACAGCTGGCGCTGACTGATGTTCCTGGTTAAATGAAAATGTGTACCCTATAAGGTAAAGGGAGAATGACGGCCACCGTAGCTCAGTGGTAGAGCATTAGACGTGCTATTTAAAGGTCACATGTTCGAATCTTGCTGGTGGCAAGTTATCTTTTCGTCCACTTTTTTTCTTGTCTATTTACATTACAGTTACTTCTAATAACATCCCCTATACTTTCCCTGGCATTACAGTCTGTTAGTTCTCATCAATGAAGTGTAACTGTCACTTAAAATGGGCAGATACGGACTGGTTCTATAAAGTATAAGGGACTATCCTATCATTACCTAGTGAATTATCTGTTTTGTTTTATTACAAAATAATAAGGAAGTCATGATTAGCATGCACGACTATAACTGTACAGAAACAATATTTACTGTTTTCTTAGTAAGTGCTGGCACAGCGCACACACACATTAAACGAACTGTGCACGCACTTTTGTGTATTCTCGTTACAGTTATTACTGACGAAAAGTTATGGGTCAAGAAATGATTTGTTTGTGCAAGTTACTAAAATATTAGCTCACTGGAAGGACAGGCTTAAACAAAAACAGTTTATTGGCGCTTTGTTGCAACACCAGGATATTCCTTGTTGATCGGCTTCGCTGTGCGTGAACGGTCTGCAGTGTGAGGTTCTCTCTCTTTTTTTTTTACCGCGTACAAATGTTGATAGGAATTCTCTTGCTTTGAAAGGGCAAATAAAATATGCACTTGCGTCTCTCGTGATCGGCACTATATTTCATTTTTGTCAAGATTACCCGCATTGATTAAAAACTTTAAGCTTTATAGAGCCTGGTGTACTTAATTTTGTAGGTAAATATTGTAGACAACCTTTACAAGCTATTAAAAATTCAAGCTGCATATTAAAGCCAGGAAAATGCCTGTGGTATTCAGCCTTTACAGCTCGGCAAAAGTTTAACAGGCGTGTCTTTTGATCCCCAAACTTATTGCCAACCTATTCAGCCTTTACAGCTCGGCAAAAGTTCAACAGGCGTGTCTTTTGATCCCCTAAACTTATTGCCAACCTAACTACAGCCGCGAGCAACTCGAGAATTTCGGCAATGCCCTAATTCGGCCACCACTCCTATCCTGCCACAGTGCTCAGTGGTTTCCTTTTGGTGTTATCGTTTTATTGGGATTGTCCCAAGAACAACTCGGCTATTCAGCGTTAGTATGAAGGGCAAGTTCGCAGACAGTTGAAAGCAGTCGTGCAATGTACAGATGGTTTTAAAGTCAGCTGTTCGCCAGTGTCATTCGACAAATATCAGATTTCTGCAGAACTATGTGGCTTAACTTGACCTAACCAGAATGCAGTGGCAGGCAAAGTTGGAGTGGGGGAAGCGTTAAAAAGAAAAGAAAAGGTGATGCTTGCTCACATTGCAGAGCCGTGACGCTGTTTTGAAGTTGTGCATTTCAGATAATTTTGCTTTTTTCTCTACTTTTTTTTTTATCCTCATAGACACGTTCTCGCGTAAGTAGAATGGTATGGTCTTTTTTAATTACTGTATGCATTCACAATCTGACTACCAAATTAGATCAGCAACTACGACATTGCTCTATTAAACATGGTGGTAGCACCGGCCACGGTAACATAATGGTTACGATGCTCAGCTGCTGACTCGAAAGTTGTAGATTAGGTCCCGGCTGTGGCAGTCGCAGTTCAATGGAGCTGTAACGCTCAAGGCCTGTGCAGTGCGTGTTAAAAAACGCCAAATTGTCAAAAGTTTTTGAGCCCTCAACTAAGCCCCATAATCGTATCGGTGTTGGCACGCAAAACTACACATTAACATGGTCACAGGATTTTGGCGTGGACAAAATGTAAAAGGACCCGTGTACTTAAATTTTTCACGTGAATGTTATAACAACCCCTGGTGTCCGCAATTAGCCCAGGCCCACCTCCGTGGCATGACTCACAATTGTATTTCAGGTCTTGGTTCGTAAAGTTTCAAAACTGAATTTTGTACATGGTGTGACATGCGTCGTAGGCCTTGACCAAATGTCTGCACACATTGGCGCTTGTGAGTCGTGACAAAGCACGCACCCTTGCGAGGGAAGTTACCGTGGATAACATATGCAAAATTTTGTCAATGAGCGTTCCTAAGTAAAAGGCCGCGTTATAGGGTGTGTTTACTTATAAGGCAATGCTTATTCGCTAGCAGGAGCTCTACAATTTTGTGGCACATCTTTTCCATTTTGTTCCATAGTGTAAATTCTAGTTGTGCCACGCAGGTTGACGTGTGGCCCCAAAAATCGCCAGCGGAGGCCAAGGTTCCGGTCAAGGAGGTAAGACCATCGTGGTTTACCGTAGGTGGACATGATGGCACGTACACTGGCACTTCTATAGTACATCATTTGAGACGTGCAATTTTGGTCTCCTAAAGAGAGTTTGTTGCTGGGCTAGCTGGCTCATAATGACCAACTGCTGAGTGAAAATTTAGTAGAAATAGAAGAACTGTCTTGTGCAGTGTGCTCTGATGTTTCCAATATTGAATTCATGCTGTGCAGTTGAGCTTTTGTCCTGTAGCTTGGCCATCTTTGACCCCTTACGGGCTGGACATGGTCTCAGCTTGTTTGTACGTATCTAATAAAGATGGCCGAAGACGAGCTCAGCTTGTTCACCATTTCCTCTGTTTAACTACAGTGCAGTGGTAGAGCAACCTTCGTCTATATCGCATAGCTTGCTGTTGCGCTAGTTGGCAAGTTTTCTTGATGAAGTAATTAAGTGAAAATTAGCACTCTGTCATCTGAGTTCAAGTCCATTTACAAATATATACCGCATTTACTTGTGTATGTAATGAACGCACTCGCATGGTAAACGCAGCCCCAACTTCGGTCGTCAAAATCTGGATTTTTTTTTCTCCCGCGTAATAAACGCACCCTCTACATTCATCCACTGCAGTCCAGCTAACCAACACCTGGCGTCTTCTTGCCTGTTAGATCTCTTTCACTTTTCATTATTATGCTAACCGACTACGGCTCGCTTCCTCACCCCCCCCCCCCCCCCACCTTTACGCGCTGTATTGCTCTATCTATCTGTGCACAGCACGTCCCCTGCCTTTTTTTTATTAAGTGTGCGCCACAGCGGAGTTCACAAATGGTGCCAGTGTAAAGGCATTGCAGCTGATAAGCACACAGCAAGCGACGGTCATAAAACTGCTCGTGCCAAACGACGGTCGTTTTCTGAAAATACGAAACTTTTAAACATAACCACATGCTCGCAATTTTGTAGCGACGACCACAGGATTTGCTGTCGCGATGGTTGTCGCGAAAGGCCATTCGTTGCCATTTCATCGCAGGTTTCTGGAAAACCAGAAAAAATCGCTTGTCGCCCAGAAAAGATTGTGACGATTTCCGCAACGTGGTCACACCCCCGATTCTTGGTTGGGTTGCAATTTTCATGCTTGTTATTCGTGCGTACTTCCTGGAATGCAAGATATAGGCTACCTTTTCTACAGTAACTTCTCATGTGGACTGCAAGAGACTGCCGCCGTATTTTGTCTTTAATCTTTTTTTTTGACAGTGTGTTTTGATGATTCGCTGGTAGCTTGCTGAAATGTCAATGGTATCGTCATGATCGTCGTGCGAGAATACCACGAAGTCACCAAAGTGCGTCGTAGCACACTTAGTGCACGCCACAATTAGTGCAAACCACAGCAGTAATTAGGTAATCAAAATATAGAATCTGGCAACATTCAAGGATGTGTCCACAGAGCACAATAGAAGGTGCCACTTTGATTTCGAAATTTTCTTGTTTTCTCATTTGCAAACGCTCTGTTCTCATTGGGAAGGCTCAACTGCTTATTACAGAAGTCTAATTCTTCAATCTAGCTCAACTTAACAGTTCCCTTTTGTGTCCCTTTAAAGCATACGTATGACGCAATTGATGTGAGCATACTATTAGGCGGCGGCACTTCCTGAGCTTTATCCTGCTAGACCTCTTCTTTTTGTTCACCCAACTGTTCCTTAGTTCCCACTCCCTCCCTTTCCTATGCCTGGGTGTTGCTTGATGCTTACTTTGCCACATCCCCGTTCTGTTCTGTTTTCATTATTGGTCCTTTTCTGTGTCTCTGGTAAAGGCCCTCCCACCGGCCAGTGCCGCAGAAACGTGGGCGGAGAAATCGCCCGGTGAGCCGGCCGCCCCGCCCGCGGCTGTCAGAGATACGAAGGAGGTACGGCGGCCACTGTTACGACCTGTCGCTTTTTGTTGAGGTTCTTCACAGGCCTCCGCTGTTGCATTTGTTTTGTGGTTTTGCATTCTCTTTGCTGCCTGCATCTTCTTTTGGGAATACGACTTCATAAGCAAATTATGCAACTGCTAACTGCTCAGTGTCATCAAAAACCTCATGCCTTGTCGCCCAACTTCAAGAGTGAACAGAAGTCAAAGTCAGTAGCTGGTTTGCAAACTACAGTGGGAAGATAACGCAGCCCGGCTTTTTAACTCCAACTGTTTAAACGTTTGCAATTATTTTTTTACATACAAAGTAATGTGAACAAAGGTTACGCTGTTGGTTTTTGGGAATCACATTGAAAATATTGATTTGCACCAGTTGCTAAACAATATAAATTTTGAAATATGTTCAATTAGTCTTCTCTATATGCTGTCTATTTTATTTTGCATTCTGTTTTGCATTTGTGTCTCATTTGAAGGCTCTTTAGCTGTGGCTCTTGGCTGTGTATTGCATGGTTCTTATTTTTCTTTGTAAGTTAAGTAACTTCAATTACCACAACAACTTGTATCCTACCAGCGCTTTATTGCACCGGCTGACATTTGTCCATATTGATTGCTCATGTTTTGGCTAATGACGACTCAATGATGGTTGAGATTGTCTTAGTCTCAGCTCAACGATTGAATTTTCTACCCCTTTCTTTAGAGGAGCGTTGGAATATGACTAGTCCAGAGAGGCACATAAGAATAAGCTCTATGCTTCGGCCTTTTGATGCTGCGTACTTGCTGGCTTGCCATCGTTTCGCAGCCTGGCACTCCTACCATTCTGCTGCCTGCCTATTCGTATCACCTGTTTTACCGCCTGCCTCGCTTTTCTTCCTGTTCACAGAACTCTGAGGTTTGGAGCAAAAAAGCCAGGACGTCAGAAGTGAGCAAGGCTGTTAAGGAGGTGAGCACGGAGGGTCCTGTTCATATACTGCTGCGATGATGGCCGTGTGCCATCGCAACCTGAGGCGCGTTTCACAGAGAGGTATAGTGGTGGACTATAGCAACAATTATGTGCGAAATCGGAAGGACATGGTTTACAGTTCAAAGGCACGCTATGAATTGCATGGGTGGCCACTTCAACACTTGAGCAGATTTCTCCAGTGCACTGTACAAGTACACATAGGCTTGTTTGCTTGCTTGCTGAAAGCCCTTGTCCGTGATCTATTGTTCTCAGCAATGTGCATAGCGTGCACAGGGTTTGCCATAAGGTAGGGGGGGAGGGCGGCAACTTTCAGTCAGCGCTCTGCCTCTCGCACCCTCTCTGAATCCAGAGACAGTGGAATGTAGATCAAAGAATTGGTGCAGGAACGAATTTTTCTGTCCTTGGCTGTCATTACCATTGAAAATTTGTACTGCCATAACCGTGGCCATAATATAGTTGAATCTCAATAATTCAAACTCGAAGGGGCCCGAAAATATATTCGGATTAAACGAAATTCGAATTAATGAAAGGTAAATAAGTGGAGGAATCTTCATGCAGTTGCACATGTGCATTGAGCTAACACATGAGGAGGAAGTTTGGGAAAACTTACATTTATTCACAAATCACAGGACATTCGTTATTAATTGAAGTAATCGGTGATGCGCGTCTGCACACGTTTGACTTGCAGCGAGTCAATTTCGCACGCAGCTTGCAAAGCATTTCTACTTCGCGGCTTCAGAATTCTCCTGGCAAGAAAAGTTGCGAGCGGAAATGTCCAGCACCGACACTTTCTAAAGACGACGACAACGACGACTGCTGCGTAGCGGAGCTCTGCTACGCAGCCGCAGCATGGCCAGCACGTGACGAGAACGGAGGAGCGTCTCCATGCGGAGAGAAGCAGATCGGTTTTTGAGAGATAACCAACACTCCACAGCAGCTTTCTTTTTCTTTTTTTTTTTTCGCTCTCTTCGCTCGTGGGACCGCCAGGGGGCCACGGAGTGCAGACACGCATGTCGCGTCGGCTCCGCAGATTTTCAGTGATTCTCAGCGTGAAATCGAAGAACTGACGGACGCCTTCTTACAGTGAAGAAAGTGGAAGTTCCACGGAACCCCGCGATACCACTCTCAAGTAGGTGGACGTTTAATTTTCGGCACATTGACCACATTTATGTAACGCCGACGAACGCACGACGCCGTTGCCTCCTGCTGCTGTGCATAATGCGCTTGGCCTAGCCCACGGACGCTGGCGTCTTGAGCCCCTTCAAGGCGGCGTCTTATCGGGTTAATGCCACAGGATGGCTACGATGAGCGTGGATGGCGAAGATATCACGCAACAAGAGTATGAGAACGACGCAGGTTGGCGCCTTGTGAACAGAAAAGGACGAGCCAACAAAGAAACCACAACGCATGAAGCCAAGGACCAAGAAACGCACTTCTCAAGCGAGAACGTGGTCAGTAATAGATGGAGGAAGGGACAGAGAGCAAGACAAATTGCGGCTGCGAGCAGGATGCCCCGTCTGCCGAAGGAAGATTACAAGATAATTGTGCGCCCACGTGATGGCTTCAAGGTCACTGACTACGGGATCAATCGTCTAGAATGCTGCATCGCCAACGCCGCTAAAATACCCAGGAATGAATCGGAAGAAGACACGGTATGTGCCAACTATAAACAGAACATTCTAGTGGTCAGCACACCATCAGAGGAGCGCGCCGAAAAATACAGAACCATCGCTAAACTGAAGATTGGGGACAAAGAATTCGAAGCCAATGCGTACGAGTCAGCTCCGGAAGATACATCTAAAGGGGTGATCCGAGGTGTAACGCAGGACGTGTCTCCAAGAGAGATCGTGGAAATGCTGGTAACCTCGAGAAATCCGACAGTCCTCATGGCCAAGAGGATGGGAAACACCACAAACGTCATCGTCCTCTTCGATGGGCACCGCGTTCCAAGTTATGTGAGCTACGGAAGAGCACTGGTCAAGTGCTCACTATACTGCAAGAAAATAGACGTGTGCTACCAGTGTGGACGCCTTGGTCACAGAGCTGACGTCTGCCCGAGCCCGAATAACAGAATATGCAGAGGGTGTGGCACTAAGAACCCACCGCAGGAGCACGAGTGCGAAGTGAAGTGCCAGCTGTGTGGCAAAGACCACCCGACGGCAGATCGCCATTGCAAGGCCAGATTTAAGGTACCGTATCTGGTGAAACGACGCCGCTGGGAACGAGCCCGACGGGAGGAAGAAGAAGCACTTTACTATGAGACGGAAGCGAAAGCACTTCACAGGCAAAGATGGGGTGACTCAGGTCAAAGATCGGAACATCGGACGCGGGACGCATCCGGACCAGAAGCCTTCACCAAGCTTCAAGCACAAAACAAAAACCACTCTACGTTTACTACCACCACATCTATGTCGAGATCCAGATCGAGGTCCAGATCGAGGTCTAGACCCAAGACCGGCAACACCGGGTCTCCCCGATCAAAGGAGGGAGGAGGATCCCAAAGCTCGAAAGGACCGAGCGGCGTCCGTGGCACCGCGGGACCCTTCCAGGTGAGCTGGGCTGATGTGGCCTCCGGGGCGCGCGCGGAGGCAGAGGCTGCTTTTCAATGTAAAATTAAGGCGCTAGAGAACGAATTGGCGCAGATCAGGCAGAACAATGTTGCATTTATGAATGAGATTAGAAAACTCAGGGAAGAAAATGATTTTCTGAAAAACGGAGGGGTTACACGCAACGAGGAAACCTCACAAGTTATAATGAAGGAAAAAGGCGCAGCAATGGAGGAAGAGGTAGCAGCCCTCACCCCTGTTAAACGTAAACCAGAGAACGCTCCGATTAAAAGCGTGGTAAAGAAACCAAAAGCAGTGGCGACGCCACAAGAAAGACAGGAGGAATTCGCAAACACCATAGAAGCCAAAATGGAACAAATTGAAAAAAAATTGCAAACTAAGCTCGAACAACAAGAAGCTAGATTTGAGGCAAACATAGAGGCCAAAATTGAGGAGCTAGGCAAGACGATATTGCAGAAAGTGCAGCAAATGGTGGCTGATTTCGACGCCAAGCTAGCAATATGGGGATCGCAGTCAAGTGGTGGGGGCCCAGTTAAGACGTCTTTTAAACCGTACGCTAGGACCTCGGTGCCCACCGAGGGATTAGAGAGCCTGTAACGCCGCCATGGACAGACAAAATAGCTACACGATTTGGCAATGGAATTGTCGAGGATATAATCGAAAACGATACATTTTGCAACAACATCTTAAAGACACCAGCACCCCGGATGTTATAATGGTGCAAGAAACGCACGGGCTGGTCAAACTGTCGGGATATAAGTCATTCGGCAGTGCTGATGGGGAGACAAAGGTATTAGCAACGTTGGTTAAGCGAAATCACGCGGTGGTGCAACATGACACGGAAATCAAGGCAATAAATCACATTCTCCTCGAACTCATACCCACGCGAAAAACAGAGGACAGTCTTTTCGTATTGAATATTTACAGCAGTCCTAAATGCAGAAAGCACAAATTCCGCACGCTGTTTCGAAAAACCCTCGCTATAACGGGCAACCGGGCGCTAGTGATTGGAGGAGATTTCAACGCCCCACACGGTGCATGGGGATACAGGATCGAAACCCAGAAAGGCAGGAACTTGTGGTTGGACGCACAGGAGGAGGGCCTGACGCTCGTGACCGATCCATCCATTCCTACAAGAACAGGTACTAGCGTTTGCGCGGATACCACGCCAGATTTGACGTTCACCAAAAATATACTGGACACGCAATGGACCAATACGCAACATGACTTGGGAAGCGATCATTTTATACTTGAAATAACGGTGAGGGCAGGGCCGCGGAAGGCAAAAGGCAGACAACTTAAACTTGTCGATTGGGACAAGTTCCGAAACATCAGAGAGGAGCCCGACGAAATGATACGGAGTATTGAGGAATGGACCGAAAAGTTAAAACGAGACGTGGAGGCCGCTACGCAAACGGTGCCACCGGAGGCGCAGCTAGAGTATGTAGACAATAAGCTTCTCCACATGTGGGAAGCTAAGGAAGGTTTACAACGGAGGTGGAAAAACCAAAGGCACAACCGGACACTTCGTAGAAAGATAGCTAAATTGAACAGAGATATAGAGCAATACGCCCAGCAGCTGTGCAGACAACAGTGGGAGGAAAAGTGCAATGACATGGACAACCAGATAGGAATGGCGAAAACGTGGACCATCCTTAGACATTTGTTAAACCCGGACGGAAACAAGTTGGCAGAAAGGCACAATATTAATCGGTTAATACAAAGATATCAAGGTACAGAGCAGGATTTCCTGAATGAAATCAAGAAAACATACATCTCTCAAGCGCTTCCCGTTACACACCCTGATTACACAGGGCTAGCAAATGATGATTTAGACAACGAGATCGGGGAGGCAGAAGTGAGGGCCGTCTTGCAAAAACTCAATACTAGATCAGCACCTGGACCAGATGGCATAACTAACAAAACGCTACGCAATTTGGATGACGAGTCCATAACTAAGTTAACTGAATTCATTAACAAATCATGGAAGGCAGGACAGATTCCGCAACAATGGAAGACGGCAAAAATCGTGTTAATACCCAAGCCAGGCAAGCGAGTGCAGATTGCGGACTTGAGGCCCATATCTCTCACATCTTGCGTGGGGAAACTCATGGAGCACGTGATTCTGGAGAGGATAACTACCTATCTAGAGGACCGGGATGCGCTTCCACCCACAATGATAGGGTTCAGGAGGAACCTCTCAACGCAAGACGCAATGCTACAGTTAAAACATCAGATTATAGATAATCCGGGAACAGCGACAAAGGCCATTCTAGGGTTAGACCTCAAGAAGGCCTTTGATAATGTAACCCATGCAACGGTGCTAAAAAGGGTAAACGATCTAGATCTGGGACAACGGACGTACAATTACGTGCGTAATTTCCTGACGGGAAGGAAGGCAAAGATCATGAT